TCTCCTGAAAGGGGGAGCCTAGAAGGTCCTTAAAATAAAAAGAGGGATATGTGCTTACTATCTTTCATGGCCTCACCTGATACCTCCCTATAGCTCTCTAAAAGACACGTTTGTGTTTAATGAAAAACTGCTTAATCTGCGAATGTGGCATTAAAAGTGTGGGATCTTTTGTGGGCTTTTCGAGCACTTTAGCACTGAGGATGATGTTGATCTGAATTTGAACTGAAAGTGAGACTTTATAACTCCTAAGCCCACCTACAGAAATATAGATGAACTAATTTATTTTGGACCATCCTAGCGAGTGTAATCGCAGCCCTACCATGTGGCTTTGGAGGGCTTTGCAGGCATGTTCTTCAGGCACATGCAGCTCCAGTATCTTAGCCAGATTCAAATTGGGAACCAGGAGTAGTTTAGGATAAATGTTATTTTTGCTTTCTTTCCAGGTCGAAGTAGTATTCCAGCTGCTTTTATTAGAGCCCCACCAGCCCTCATAAAAATGGAGATGCCCAGCGAGCGTCCCATTAGCACTAGCCATTTCATTGGCCCACCAGCTCTCTCCCCTGGTGTTGCCCCTCTCCTTATGCCACGACCAAAATTCTGCCGTCCTGCCAAACAGCACATCTGCACTACATGTGGGAAGAACTTCTCCTCTGCCAGTGCCCTTCAGATTCACGAACGGACCCATACTGGTGAAAAGCCGTTTGCCTGCACCATCTGTGGGAGAGCCTTTACAACAAAAGGAAACCTGAAGGTAAGTCATCTCTTAAATTGTAATCTCCTTTGTTGGGGAAAGTCATACCAGAGAGGTAAAGACTATTGCTAATATTTGTCCTGCCTTCGGAGACAACTTTGCTTTTCTTTTAGTTTTTCAAATGGTTATCTTTGACTTCTGTCTCTCCTTCCTGGGTTTCTTCACACAACTTGCTAAACAGTGTTCTGAGATCAACCGCCAGAGTCTTTGCTACTGTCCTTGACTTTCCTTTTTGGGTGGTAGAAAAGGATTAGCCCTTACTAAGCAGCTTGCTTTATATTCATTTGGATTTGGATGTGTCAAGACATAAACGTTTCATAGGCATCCTTTTGTAGCATTCAGTCTGCAGAATACATGCATTACACTGCACTGCTTAAACACCACGCAGGACGAGGAGGGATAAAACTGAGAGGATAATCCTGAGATGGCACAAAGTTCTTGGGGATTTTGTGTCTAAGCACTTGCTGAAGTCGTCCTGCAAGTCTGTCCTTATTGTGAGAGTAATCTGTTTGCCCTGTAAGGGACTCACAGCTCCCTCACTTGCATAGAGGCTTCTCACTTCCCATGAGAACCTCTTCAGGCTCTTCAGTTCTTCCATAAATGCTGACAGGGAGGGAAAATACTCAGCAGTTTGTCAACAGCCACTTGCTGGAACCACTACCAGTATGTTTGTGGTGTGGAAGATCTTAGCTTAGGTGCAATCTCTCTCCCAAATTCCTTGGTGAGTTTTTTGCATTAACTAAATTTTTTTTCAATGTAGTCTGTTCACAGCAAATAATGTGGCTTATTTTTTGGGGTGTAGAGGGGCATGTTTGCCAACTTCACTTACATTAAGTGTAAAAACACAGTTTCACAAGCACTTCAGCAGTGAACTTGAGAGCCATGGTAATGTCGGGCAGTAGAATGACTATCTTACATTACTATCTTACGAGAACTAGCCAGCGTAAATACTTACTTGTGTGCAAATTAACCATACATAACTTCTTTGGAACAACTTGCCTGTAGGCAAAGTAAAACTTGGTTATACCATGAAAGAAGTGCCGTATTAATGATTGTCTTTATTTCTTTCTCCTCTGGAAGGTCCATGTAGGAACTCACATGTGGAATAACTCTGCCAGGCGAGGACGAAGGCTTTCGATTGATAACCCCATAGCTCTGCTGGGGAATGATCCCAAGAAGGTATCTGAAATGTTTCCGAAGGATATAATGACTCCTTCAGTGAGCATTGACCCCACAGTGTGGAATCAGTATGCAGCGGTACTCAGCAATGGCATAGCAATGAAGACTAACGAGATCTCGGTGATCCAGAGCGGTGGCTTACCTACCCTTCCAGTCACCATTGGGGGTGGTTCGGCAATAAATACTGCTACGGTCTCCAAGATAGATGGGACCCAGTCTGGGACTGGTTCTGATACAGAGAAGGCCAGTGGTGCTGCTGCAGACAATGTGCCAAAACACCAGTTCCCTCACTTCATGGAGGAGAACAAAATTGCTGTTAGCTAAAAACTCTAGTGAAGTTGGCGTACAGAAAGAACAAATATATATATACACAAACTTATATTTTTAAGAGATTCCACTTCAACCTCCTATTTTCCTATTGACGTGCAAATGATTTTATGGTTGTCTTTGTAAGAGTTGCCCAGAGTACAATCATGATATTGCTTTGCAAATAGTAAATAAAGAATAGGATTTCCTTCTATTTGGAAAGATGCGGGTCTTGCAAAGTAGTTCTTATGTGTGACTTTAATGTGTACAGCCTTACAGAAGTTTCTGCAACTTGAAATTCCAAAGGTTAGAATATTTACCTCTTTGTTTAGAGTGAAATACTTGGAGGTTTTGAATATAGTGGAAACAACCTACTGTTGATGGAAAAGCTTCTATTTGCTGATGAGAAATGAAAACTATTAATGCGGGTAAATATCCTAGAATGTCTGCCACCCTCTTAGAAATAGTTTTTCTGTTTGGATTTTTGGCTCTCTGTGATTTCTGAATGTACTTTTTACTATAATGGCTATAAAAATACAATTTTTTTAAAATTCCTTTTTTTTGCCTCAGAAGCTTTATGAAGAGAAAGTTGCTGTTTTTCTTTAATCACTGCTCCTAAAGAATTAATTTTCTGTATTGTTGACTGCTGCTTATTTAATACTACTACTAGGACAGTCCTTCAAGTATAGTGCCAAAACTCCTACTTCCAAAGATGTGCAGTTTTTCCTAGATCTTTTATTTCAATACCAAGAGACCCAAGCAAGCATGGGTGGGTATGTATATACTTTTTTTTAATTTCCTCTCTTGAAAGGGAAGACTTGCCTTGGGAAGTCAGGTCTAAAAGCTCTGCAAGGAATCTCAGATGACTGTTGCAGTTAAGCATGGGAACTGGTTTCCTTAGCAAGAGATTTTTTTTTATTTTTTTTTTTTAAATTGGGTAATTTAGAAGATCAGTCTGTGTAAACCTGTATTTAAATATGAAGTATTCATGGTTAGGTTAAATGTTTTGTGGGTTTTTGGATGGCATTCCT